CAAACTGTTATTTAAAAAATTCAGGTCTTAATTTTGATTAATGATCTTGCAGAAGTTCAAGGGAAGAAGTTGTCTGCTGTCTCTACGCCAAAGCTTTCAGAAGGCCAGCGCCTGAGCAGTTTGACCTTTGGGTGCTTTTTATCCCGAGCAAGGAGCCCTCCTCAAGTAGTAAAATCGGAAGAAACAAGCAAGATACCATCTAAAGAACCCGAGTTCACTGAAGGAAAAGACATAGAAGGTATTTATGGACTAAAGGAATTTACTTCGACATTTTTTAAAAAGGAAAAATCATTTGCGAAGATTAATCCAAATATAGCTTAATTTTCCTTATTTTCTTCTTGACCACTTGATGCTGTACGAGACTATTTCTAAAGCACAATACAGCATTTAACTTTGTGTATCTAGTTATCTTGTACTTTTTTTGAGACTCTTTGCCAGTGAAGCACAGGAAAAACTGGTTTTCCCTTCTTGGTACTTTTTTCCGTAGTAGGTAGCAGTAATATTTAAAATTAAAAAGTATATAGTCATACCTACAAGTACTTGTTTTAACTGAGTTTCAGATTAGAAGTATGAATTTTCTATTCATTATTTGAAGTGTAAAAACTATCTATTACTCAATATGAAGTCAAATGTGACGTGACAAACTTATAAAGGAAAAGAACACCAGGGGACAATTTAGTAACTGCTTTGATTTTCCCTTTATTGTCTCAAAGAGGAAAATATTTATCGGGATGTTTAAGCCCTGGACCTGTGTGCAGATTTCTACCCACTTTTGTCTTACAGCCCCTCTAAATTTTGCTTTATTATGCAACTGCTGGCTTTGCCACCACTTGTACGACTTTTCCCAGTTATTTTAGAGAAGCTTGAATTTGCTCTTCTATTTTCGGTTCCTGTTTCCTTCCTCCAGAGGAGAAAAATTATAGCTCTCAAAGCTGTGTTGATTATGAAGTTCTGAAAACTACATAATGTTTTTCTATTCTGAAGGCTTCTTTGACACCTGCTTGTATGTCGTTACTTGGGTTTTTTTTCTTTTTGAGAACGTCGTTTTGACTTTTTCCCTGTTTTCTAACAGTCAGTTGAGTATAGGTTGCCTGTCCTACAGCTCTTGCTTATTTGCAGATTTAACAAACTGCCTGACACCAAGTTGTAGAGTGTATTTGTTGTGCTTCTGTATCTGTAATTATGAAGG